CCTTTGCTTCCTTTAGACCAGGGGTCACCACCGTGGTGTCCGCTTGCACCAAAGGACCCTCAAGGACCATATAGGATGTCCTCTGAAAACAGCACAAACTATGAGATTTCAAAATGGTAATATATAAATAAGATGTTTAAAATATTATGCATGTAGTTTAGATAAATTCCTACTCCTCAAGTTCATAGGACAGTATTAGTAGCCCTTCTATGGCTCAATAGCTCTCCCCCTAAAAAAGGTTGGTGATCCATGCTTTAGACTATCCTCAAAATAAAATAAGCAAAAGTAAAAATTTCTTTCAGACAGTAATAACATCCACATTGAAGGGTGTTGCTGCCACTGGCCCTCATCAACCTGGTAGTATTTATCTAAGGTATAATAGACAGAAAGCAGATCAGATTCTCCCTAAACACTCCGACTGGAACGCTATTCCGCTAAGTGCATCTTTAATTTTACGCCAGAATTCTTTGTTACACAGATAATTTAAACTATTGAACTGTAAACAGGCACAAATCAAGCTACTGGTTTTCATAGATTGTTTAGTACATTAGGTGAAAATCTGTGATCCATTAGATTAGATTAGATGAGCTTTATTGATCTCACAGCAGAGAAATTCACTCATCACATGTTGGCATAGAAGTTACAGAAGGTGCAAACAGGGAGGAAAAAGGTGCATTAAGAATAAGCAATATATATACAGTATATCCAGGTATATATTATTGTCCTTGTTCAATGCTACTTTGGTATAAATATAATCAATAAATAACATCTTAGTTTGCTGACATTCAGCTAAAACCTCTAAAGTAGATCAATAAAGGGCACTTTTAGTTGTGGAGGAATAAAAATCTCTTTTCCTATCTTGCTTTCGTTGATATAAAAGTTATGTAATCTATGAAAAAAAAAAGTTGTTTACATCAACTGGTTGCAGCTGAGAAGTTTGGCAGCAAGAGACAAGTTTATAGTTTAATTAGTTTATTTTCAAAATGGCTGGTGTAAAACCTGTTAAGCTGATGGTATTTTTATTTATTTTTTGACATGTTTACTGCACTGCGTGACAATATTTAACGGTTGTTTTTTTTCCCTCCGAGCTTATTTAACTGAACGCACCTCCCTCTGTTTTTGCAGAGAATGTTTCAGATCCTGGACTTGAGCTCTTATGATCACAGAAACATTTAAGGAAACTCTCTGAAATGTTGGTTTTGAGCACTAAATTACTAAAATCTCCTAATTTTAGTCAACTTTTTTGTTGTGGTCAGCGTCTCTGTGTCAAGTATCTTGAAGGATAAAGGCTAAATCAGCTGATCTACTTTATTTTGCTAAAATATATTCACTCATCTGTCAAGACTCAGACATGTATGGTTTTAAATGCTTTTTCTTTCAGCTTTAACAGCTGAAAAAGAAGAGTGTGTCTAGAAAATGTCAGACCTTTTACCAGAAGAGAACACCTTTGGTCAAACTCTGATGTCAATCTCTACTGGGATTTTTCCCAAAGGCATTTTTCCAGTTAAAGTGAGGATTTTGTGTTGCCCAATCAGCAAACCTGCCCTCTAATCTATGTACCAACATTGCTTTAGGAACTATTGTTCAGTCATGTCAGAAAAGAAAGAGGTCATCTATAAAGTCAGCCCCGGCTCCAAAACCACAATCCCATCATCACCAAACTATGTATGTTTTGCATCCGTATTTGGAATGCTATGAATCCACCCATCTTCTCCCATTTAGTCCTTGTGAGGGTCGCAGTGGGGCCGATGCCTATCTCTGGGGGGGTTCACCCTGGATAGGTCACCAAACTGTTGAAGGGCAAGACAAAGACACACAATCATGCACACACGCTCACACCTAAGGACAATTTAGAGAAGACAATTAACCTAACAGTCATGTTGGACTGTGGGAGGAGGCTGGAGAAAACCCATGCATGCTCAGGGAGAAGATGCAAAATCCATGCAGAAATACCAGGAATCAAACCCAGAACCTCCTTGCTGCAAGGCAACAGCGCTACCCAGCAGCCCACACTGGAACCCATTACTCTCAAGCTGATCTGAGGCCTAAATTAATGTTTGGAGTCTGTTCCTGTTGAATCTGCAGGAAGTGACTCAGGATCTGCAAACCTTTATTTACCTATAACTGCATGGCTGCTGCTGCACAGTTGCTTTCCACTTTCTTATAACACCTTTACAACTGACAGGATTATGTAGTAGCGATGACATTTAACAGGCCAATTTTATTGCACAGGTGGCATCCTTTTACAGTTATAAGCTGGACTTTACTGTTTTAGTGTTCGTAGAAGCCGTCTGCACACACATTAACTTGGACTGTGTTTTTTCCCTTCAAGCTAAACATGTATGGCACCATATTGTCTTTTAAAGTCAAATCAAATTACAGCTGTTTGTCTGACTGAGGCCCCTCACAAAAGAGATTAATCTGATTTCGGCTGCTTTTCATGTCAACAACAGATAGAAGGAAAAAAAATCCCAAAGGCCAACGGCCAACTTAACCGCAGAGAGTATGGAGAACTGATTGTACTCTGAAGCACATTTCTAGTAAATAAAAATTTTGATCTTTTGACAGGATATAACTGTATAAGTGGATTATGCTGGATGTCTACTATAGGGCATATATAATAAATAAAAACTAAGCCTCTGAGTCGTTTTAAATGTATTCCTTGAATTATTGCGTAAAGGTTGGATCTCCTTCATCCACGTCCTTTTGGTTTTTTGAAGCGGTGTTTTGTGAAGAAAAAAAAAACGTATTAATGTACTCAGAATGAGGAAGAGGCTACGGTGCAAGTCCCATTCATTAAAAATATACCATGAAGAGAGAATTTTTGGAAAATTGAAATCAAATCTTTAACTTTACATTAAAATCTAGGATGAATTATCTTGTACTCTACACTAGAGAAAACTCAGATTTTCTGCAGGACTGCATGAATGTCAGGCAAATAGTGTTTGTCAGTTTCAGAGTTTATAAAAATGTGTTTAACTATTTAAAGCACAGGGTAACAAAACAAGAAGTTCTTTGTATTCCAGGTCTGAACTTCAGAGTGTTCCAACTAGATTAGCTGGATTCTCTAAAGCTGTGCCATGTCCTGGCTGACTGAAATCAGATCGTCTTTTAACCTTTAAATGATCAAAGACGACTTTAAAGTAAAGGTTTCGTGGAAAAGTTTTGCTTCCATAGAAGTTCTCCTGAATAGCTGAAGCTAATTTATGAGCGAGTTGTTGCTAAATTTAATGCTCAGCTGGTGAGAAGGCAGCTTCTTTGCTCAAATCTGTCTGCAGCTCTGCTGATGGGTTCAGGAAGCTCAGGTTGGTGCTATACACTCACCGGCCACTTTATTATGTAGGTACCCCATGCTAGTAACGGGTTGGACCCCCTTTTGCCTTCAGAACTGCCTCAATTCTTCGTGGCATAGATTCAACAAGGTGCTGGAAGCATTCCTCAGGGAGTTTGGTCCATATTGACATGATGGCATCACACAGTTGCCGCAGATTTGTCGGCTGCACATCCATGATGCAAATCTCCCAATAGATATATCCCAAAGATGCTCTACTGGATTGAGATCTGGTGACTGTGGAGGCCATTTGAGTACAGTGAACTCATTGTCATGTTCAAGAAACCAGTCTGAGATGATTCCAGCTTTATAACATGGCGCATTATCCTGCTGAAAGTAGCCATCAGAAGTTGGGTACATTGTGGTCATAAAGGGATGGACATGGTCAGCAACAATACTCAGGTAGGCTGTGGCGTTGCAACGATGCTCAATTGGCACCAAGGGGCCCAAAGAGTGCCAAGAAAATATTCCCCACACCATGACGCCACCACCACCAGCCTGAACCGTTGATACAAGGCAGGATGGATCCATGCTTTCATGTTGTAGACGCGAAATTCTGACCCTACCATCCGAATGTCACAGCAGAAATCGAGACTCATCAGACCAGGCAACGTTTTTCCAATCTTCTATTGTCCAATTTCGATGAGCTTGTGCAAATTGTAGCCTCAGTTTCCTGTTCTTAGCTGAAAGGAGTGGCACCCGGTGTGGTCTTCTGCTGCTGTAGCCCATCTGCCTCAAAGTTCGACGTACTGTGCGTTCAGAGATGCTCTTCTGCCCACCTTGGTTGTAACGGTGAGTGTAAGTCGCTTTAAGCTCGTTTACATTGTTGGTTCTGGTGTCTCCATCTTCTTCTCAACATTAAATGACTTCACATCTGCATCTTCAGGATTTTTTCAACAAAACAATGCATGCAAGCCTTTAACTTTTAACTTTCTGAACCTTTGGACTTTGAAAAAACACAAGCAGAAGTCATGGTTTCCCAAATCATCACAGACTCTAGAAACGTGGTCAGCTTGGTTTCTATGCCTCTCGTTCTACTGTGGTTTACAAATGAAATGTAAATTTAGTACTTTCTTCACAGACGACCAAAGAACAAAAGACAGATTCCAGTGACACGCTGATTTAGGAGCTACCATGTTTTCCTTGGTTGCAGCCCTCAGCCGGTCCAGTTTGGGTTCGCCCCCATGATTCTATTGGTCGAAACATTTCTGAGAAACTGAACTTTGGGTTTTAAAAGAAATAAACTTCTAAAAACATATAACTGGGTAATACATTTATGTAATAAAACAATTTTTACTTTTTTGAATTAAATTATCAAAAGAAATCCCCCTTCGTGGTTTAAACTGAGCAGAGAGCTCCTACCTTAGTGAGAAATCAGAGAAACACATTTTCTTAGAAACATTCGGAGAATCTTTTTAGTTCAGTTAATTTAGTTTAAATCAAGACTCTCCATTCTGAGCTGGAGGCGATATGTGACAATTACAGGATAATGGTCATCTTCTCCCCATCTCCTCCCGTGTTCCAGAAGCATCGATCTGGATTAAATCAGATTATCCGAGTAGAAACTCCCCTGGAGGGGACGCTTTATTTCTTCCCACAACATCCTTTTCTCTCTGCTGAACCTGCTCTTTAAAACCTAAATGGATTAAAAGGAATAAAACTTTGCAACTCATCAACTTCTCTCTTTATTCAAGCTAAATTGCACCACTTGTGATCAAAGCAGACATGTTAAGCAGTTTCTTGATGTGTACTGAGAAATGAATCCATAGAGGGGATAAAATAGGAACGAGAAGCTGAAGCTTTCATTTTCCCGAACTGCAGTTTCTTGAAATTTAAAACCCAAACATCAAACACACAACATCATATAACACAGCGGATAAAATACTGGAGTGTATAAGGAAAAGGTCTAGTGATTTTTCCCTCTGATTTGTCCCGACTTCCTTTAAACATCAGGCAAAGCAGATCACACCCCTCTCAGCGTTCTGGAAGCTTTAACTGAACTAACTGCTTTATTTATAGTTTAGTAACCAGCAGAGCTGAGCTCTAAGGTTATCTACGGGCAGCTGGGTTGTTGCTTAGTCATACAGCCCAGGTTTTTACTGCTGAAACATGTAACTTTTATTCCTCTCATGACCCGTCATTACCCAGTTAGTTCAATCTCTGGTATGGGAGTCCATGGGTGAGTCCAGGTTATAAAACAGGCGAAATTCACACCAAATATCACATTCAAAGTTCATATTCGACCGTGGAGTGAAGAGTAGGACTACAGAAAGGAAATGTAGCTTATAAACAGCTGAAAGGAGTCCCAGAAGTTTCTGGTTCTGAATTGGAGTCTCTGCAGAACCAAAGTCCGTCTGACAGATTCGGCTTTTGCGCCTCAGACTCCTTTAAGAAGAACGACCGTTTGTCCTGGTTCCGTCTTCTGGGGAGAGCTGTCCTTGTTTTTGGCGTCACCGCCCCGCGGGCGTCGCAGGTTGAGGAAGCTAAAGCGTGCCTCAAAGCTGAAGCTCTTCTTGGGGTTGGAAGCTGAGATGATGTTTCTGGTCGGAGCGTTGTCCAGATCTCCCTCTGCGCCTTCAGCTCGGTCGCCTGCAGAAAAACAGAAAGTCAGGAGAGATGCGGCCGACTGATGGTTTAATGGTTAGGTAAAGCTTAACGGTGTGAAAGAAATATCAGCAATCAATTCACAATCCTGGTATTAGACCTTCTGAAGTTTTACTTAAATGATCAAATGTGCATTTTTTATGTTCCTTTTTAAAAGGTGCTAAAATAACTAAGGGTTTTAGCAGCTATAAAGCAGCAAATTGCCGCCCCTCCCAGCTGCTGCTGTGCACTGCCAATCAGAAGGCTTAATGAAAATCTACCAAACTTTTCCCTTCCTATAAATACAACAAATCTAGCTGAGTGGAAACAGAAACCTCTGGATCTGTGTGTCTGCAAATGTTTCCAGATGAGAAAATCAGAGTCTGCACTGGAAAAAATCAAAATCTAGACGAGTCATTTTTTCTTAAAATAAGTCTTGGATTAAGGTAGTAAAAGAGACATCTCGCCAATGGAACAAGGCAATTTACACTTAGAATAAGAAAACAGAATAGCATTGTTTAATTTCAAGTGCATATTATCTAATTATCTTATTTATCAGAGTAAATATACTCATTCCGTTGGCAAACTATCTCATTTACCTACTCAAATTAAGGGGAAATACACTTAATTTAAGACATTTTTACTTATTTCTAGATCGTTTTTCCAGTGTGTTGTCATGTGGAAATAAAAGCAGCATCACTTCAAACTGCAGTTTGGAAATGATGAGCTGCACGCCTATAAAGCAGCTGACTGCAGGCTACCAGAGCATATAGCCTGACTAATCATCCGCCGTTAGCCATGTTAGCTTGTTATACTTGCTCTGGAAACAACAGGAGGACAAAAAAGAGCCAATGTCCCTCCATTCCTAGTATTGTTTAATCAAATCTATACATTAATAGATATTCCAGATTAAATTAGGATGACTGAAATAAGAAATTCTTGATTAGGTTGGCAGCAAAAGCGGGCAAAAGAAAAACCCATCTGATCTTAAACATTTGTAAATACTGTAACAAAGGAACATTTTAGAGTTGGAGAATCTTACATCAATAAATGTGGAAGTTTTTTTTCTTGTGGTTTAAAATCCAATAAGAAAGTGGTTCCCCTTTTCTTATAACATCTAGGTGTTTTATTTATGTGCATTTAGATTCCAGGGTCCAGACTTCATTTTAACATTGGTCCATAATGACATTAAGAAAGAGTAATGGTCATTTTGACGTATAAACACCCAAACAACTGATATAGGAACTAGACAGACTGAACCGCAGCTTAATGTCCATTTTCAAGCGAATCCAAAGGCTGTGAACCGTTTCCTCTCTGAATACGGATCTGTGGTTGGGTAGCTGTCACTTTGACTAAATTCAGCTGTAGGGCAGCAGGTGTGAGCCAAGCAGGCGGCAGAGGATGAAACCAAAATAGACTCCAGGATTTCATCCATCTTACTTTGCTCTGTTCATTTACTTTTTTGCAGGTGACCTCCATGATTTTTACAGATCTCCTACAAGTTTACAGGTGAGTTATCTTCAACAAATTCATGTAGTGTCCAAAAAAGGCATCAGTTTGGACTTTGGAGATCAAAATAATTATCTGTGATCTGAAGATTTTCTATTTGGACTTGCAAAATGTAACCCAAATAGTTAAACATGATGTACACCCTTTATTTGAATTTACTTTTTAGCTGCACTTTTAATGATAGAAATAATCAGAGGAGTTAAAAACTGAATTTGATTATATAAGTAGGCCTTGTCTGCAACGTAATCTCCGACTGTAGTGATCCAATTAGCATTTAAAAAAAAAAGTTAAATGTGTATATCTTCTAAGTTCTGCAGCTGCTTTAAGTTTGCTTTAAAAAATAAGAAGCAATGAACTAAAATGAATCTAACAGTTTTCATCCATCCATCCATTGTCCGTCACGCTTATCCCAAGCGTGGTCGCGAGGCGTGCTGGTGCCTATCGCTGTCTACGGGGCAGGAGGCGGGGTCCACCTTGGACAGGTCGCTTTTCTATCGCAGGGCAACAGAGACAAACAGGACAAACAACCAATCACACACACTCACACCTAAGGAGAATTTAGAGAAGCCAATTAAACTAACAGTGGAAGGAAGCCAGAGTACCCGGAGAAAATCCACGCATGGTCAGGGAGAACGTGCAAATCCATGCAGAAAGATCCCAGGTCGGGAATCAAACACAGAACCTTCTTGCTGCAAGGCAGCAGATCTACCCACTGCGCCATTGAGCAGCGCTAACAGTTTTTATTGTTACATAAAACACTTTCATAATGGAACCTAAGGCAGGTCTATATTCCACACCTCTTTCCAGGTCACACTCAGGCGACGAAGCCCCGCTGCATTCACTGCGAGGTCCGAGCACCGGGGAGATGAGGCCAAAGTCCGACAGCGACACAGTGCTGGGAATGTCCAGGCTGCACGGCCGGGACATGAGAGCTGGTGAAGACGTGGAGGAAGACGAGGAGGGTGTGGGTGACGGGGAGTCAGACGAAGAGGTTCCAGAGGAGGCTGAGGAAATGGTGAAGGAGCACGGAGACAGGAGCTCCTGAGGGCTGCTGGGAGTCGAACCGAGGCTGCTGGTGGAGCGGGTGTCTGAGTCCTTCTCTGACATGATGCTGCTCCCGCCGCACGGCTCGTCATCGAAGCAGTCCGAGGCCACTGCAGGAGAGAGTGATGGAGCAAGGAAGGGAAATATTACTGGACAGGTATGAAGATGAGGGAGCAGAGGAGAAAGAAACTCAACGAAAGAAGCCATAAAAGGAAAATAATGGGAATTGATCCAATGTGACAAGATGTGAGCCATATCATCCCACTGAGAGATGGCGTCTCATAAATCCGAAGCACATGAAAACGCAGTCGGTGTCCCGGGTTATTTTAAGCCTCACGTTCCTCTTTAACATGTAATCGGTGTCTGCTTAATCTGGGCTGCTGTTACCATGGTGACACTCAAAGGTAATCTGCAGGCCACACTGATGGGATGCAAGAGGGGGATTCACATTCTGCTGGCAGAAATCATGTGATCTGAAAGTGTTTTGGGTTTTTTTTTTTTTTTTTTTACAGGTCTATGAATCAATTACTCATTTTCTTCTTCTGACATTGAACATGACTCATAGTTAAATCTCTTCTGCAGGTTGGATGAACCTCGATTCCTGTCTCATCAGAACATAAAATATTAGGAAAACCAGAAAAACGTCACCTAAAAAAAAGGCCTGAGCTGAATCCCCTTTCCTGAGGTCGTCTATTCCGCCTCTATAAGCCGAGCCCCAGAAACAACTGCGATGACCTGCTGCTCAGAAAAGTAGGGCTGAAGGATAAAGTAGGGGTTCCCTTAGTGGAGGTCAGGATGGTTTTCAGATTAAATGTGTTGTGATTAGGGATGCACGATATTGGGATCTTGCCCGATATGCCGATATTTTAAAACTCATGTAGCCGATAACCGATATCGATACCGATGTTAAAGCTGGACAAAAATAAGTAGTCATTGAAAATAGCAGTTTTGTTATCGATTTCTGACACTTAAAATAATATACTAAAATATATTTTCATATGCTGATATCAAATAGATTTTTAAAAACGCGGTATCGATCTATTTTACTTTCAAAATCTCGTGAAATTTCATCGTTCTGTTACAAACTCTCGTGATATTTTGCAAATTCTTGTGAGATTTTGTTAGTAAAATAGATCGATACCGCGTCAATATATCAACATATACAAATATGGCAAAATTCCTGAATTTTCGGGGGATTTCGTAGCATAACGATGACAAATAGCAATATTTCATTAGTAAAAGAGATTGATATGGTGTTTTTAAATGGCAATATATCAGCATATGAAGATATTGTGATATTTTAATGTATCAATATTTTTTCCCTCGTCTTTAGAAGTTTTTAAGTCTGTAATAAAGAAGTTTTTGGGGAAGAAGAAGAAGTATTTTTTTTTTTATAGACTTTAGAAACTCAGAAGCTGATCAAATATCGGGTTAAATATCGGTAGGGTGACAGATGTCCGATATTCAGTTTTAAGGCCGATACCGATAGGGGGCCGATTATATCGTGCATCCCTAGTTGTGATCCCTGAGGTAAATGGAGAGCTTGGCTGTATCATGAAATACATAACTGAGAATTTCCTATGAAACAAATAAATAAACCATGAATTAGTAGACGTAACATTTATTTATTAATCTAACACATGATTCAAATATTGAATGAACCATTAAATTGTTAAAAGCACAGATAAACGTTAGCCTGACGTAGTCCTACTCAAGAATAGAATAGGAAGATGAGCGTGAACGATTGTTGCCGGTGTTGCAAAAAGAACCTGAGGATAAAATTAATTTGCTGTCGATATCTTCTAGAACAGACCTAATAGCAGAATCTACACACCTAAACTCTCCAGCGGCAGCCATTGTTGTTGTCACCCAAGCGCGCTTCGGTGACGTGGTTGATTATGTTACTGTTGATCATCTGTCCATCATCGTATAAAGCCCGCCCTGACAATTTGATTGGCCTGCCAGATATTGGGCAAGCATACTCGCGCTGCTATTGAGCAATGCCAGACCGAACTTCCCGACCTCAAACGTTGTGGGCGGGACTAAGTTCGGAATGGCACCCAGGCTAGATAAACGTACCATTAAATAAAAAAAAATTGATATATGTACTTAAAAATGAATGTTATTATTTTATTCAATCTGCATAAATGAATCTAAAGTGAAGTAATTAGGTTAATATTTATATATAGGGGGGCAGTCAGTGTGTTGTATTATTTTTGGGTCACATGATGAAATATTTGGGAACCCCTGGCCTAAGGGATGAATAAGATTCAGTCTGAATGAGATGGATGAACTGTTAAAGAAAACAGAGAATTTCTTTAATTGCTTGAAGTAAAATTTAAATATTTACCATCAACTGTCACACTTGTACCAACAGTGTTTTTTGTTCCTGTGATAGAAAACATTCACAGGCTAAAGGAAGATAAGCCTTTGCTAAGAAAGTCTATTTCAGGTATAGTATAAAAGATTTTACTTTTAATCCTTAATTAATTAGTACCCCTGCAGCAGTAATTAATGATTTTATTTTTGTTAGAAAATGTTTCCATTTAGTTGTAAGGTTTTTTTCTGACAAAAAGTTTTCTGGGTCTTTATAAGAGCGACCCAAACACAGCTGTTCCAGCAGTTTTTTCGATGTTCGAGTCTTTTATATTTTCACTTTAGACTCTTATCAGATGTTAAAAGACCGATAACGAGTTCTGTAAAAAGGCAGAATCACCGACTGTGATAAGACTCTGTCTCCAGTTCAGTCATGCTACAAATTCAAGTTTCTTATCTCACATCCAGACATCTGCACATCTCATTTTTCTCTATTCACAAATGTATCTTCCTTGTTCAACTGAATATATCTAAGTCTGATATATAAAACGCTAAGAACCAAGCCTTGTTGAACCAGCAGTTGAAGCCGAAGGAATTAATGTAAAAACTTCAAATCTAATTTGTTTTCTTCACACCAAAAACTCAAAAAACAAATCAGAATAAAAAGATCCATCAAAGATATCCCTGAAACCAGAAAAACTGGATGCTGCACTCACTGGATATTCCATCCGACTCCATCTTAAAGCTGGAGACGTCGTCCCCAGAACTGCTGTCCCCCTCGGCACCGACTCCTGGTCTGCGTGGTCCAATGGTGGAGCTCCTGCGCCGTTCGTGGATTTCATCAGAGATCATCTCTAGGTTCTTCAGAGCCGTCCTGTACTCTCCTTTGGCCTGAGACAGCTTGGCTTGTCGCTCATCCACATTCTTCTTCAGGTTCTGGAAGAAAAACAGATAAGGAAAAGGAAATTATAAACAGTTTTATTAGACAGAAATGCTCTTTTTCAGTCTGACACAAACTTTGAGGAACCAAAACTATTTTAGAACAAATTATATATGTTATTGTGTGACAGAATATATTTTTAGAGATGAAAGTGAAACTAGTTGACATTTCATGCTGACACTTGTTTATGCAGCAAACAGACTGTAGCTGTTTCCGTTTACCTGAAAACAGAACATTTATGCATCTATTCCTGCTTTAACATATAAACCAATACTGATGTGAGATGCTTTTGGGAAGCAGGAAATCACATTTGGTCTCTGCGCAGTTGTAAGATGATTCTTAGTTAGCTATCTCCATTGAGTTTAAAACTGGAATCAGAAACATGGAAATATTTCAGACATGTCCTGACAAAGCTACCATTTATTTGGGCTTTAAGAGAAAGAAGAGCTTTTTAAATGGATAACAGTAAGGCACTCTGATTTATCCTTTGGCGTTTTAAGCCCTGGTAGATCTAGAAAAAAACATTCCAGAAATGTAGGCAGGCTTTTTGGAAATCTAAGAATCAACTTCTATTTCATTAGTGCTAACTATGCTAAGAGCTAGGGCAAAATGACACAAAAAAGTTTTTAAACGCAATGGAAACATGATCCAGACTAAGTTGGACATTTAAGAGCGTATGTAAAGTTTAAGAGTCTTCACGTACCTCCAGTTGGAGGTAGTACTTCGCTTTCATCTCGAAGTAGGGTCTGTGGAGGAGAAGTCGGGAGAGGGTAGATTAATCAGAGGGAAATACAGACTTATCCTGCTAAAGAGTGGTACCCGCATCGTCACCATGGCAACCTGCCGAAGGAGACGGAGAAAGAGGCATTGTGATGTTGGATGAGCCAGCAGTGCAAAACAAATTAACACCCTGCCGAGGCAACTCACAGCAAGACTGCAGCTTCTGATGCAGACGGAGTGGAAACAAAGAGAAAGGACCAAATTTGGCTGAAGCTCTTTGATTAAAAAGCGTCATTAGGAATTCATTATCTATCAAAAATCTTCATTTGTGGAGAGTTTTCAACAATATTGAATTCCTAATGATATTTTCTGTTTCTTCTCTATTTAGCTGCAGTTTGTGATGCATGAATAGGTACCTAAAACTGTGGCATATTGGAATTACAGCATTAAGAATCTAAAATGAATCTTCCTTGATGGATTTTGCTGGTTTAGGCCTAATTCTGATCACCCGCTGCAAAAAAAAATCCCTTTCTTTCTCCCTGTGCTTGTCCAGACATGTCCTGCATGCCTCAGCTTCCCCGAATGTGCCTCTCCTCACTCTAAGATGTAGATAGAGGATGTGACAGAGGGTCTTATGCAACGTTTCAGGTTTGATAAGAATCAGTTTTACAGATACGGTCAGTTTGAGGTCTTACAGCCTCTATTATCGCAGATGCAACACGAGGAGTAGATTTTAGGAGCAAAAAACAGGCTCTGCTGCTACAAAACTGTTGGTTTTATATTTGAAAACATAGTTTTTAAAGCAAATCTTATATTTTACTTCAAAATCTAATCACTGCTGCACAAATAAGAAAAAAAATCTAGTTTGCTGCACAAATAAGAAAAAAAATCTAGTTTGTCCCTTTTGTTCTGTTAACATTAAAGTTTATTCCAATCAACGTTATTTCTTGGACATTTTTATGAGTCATCCCACAGTAATGAGATTTTTTACGCTTTATTTTCTGTCATGTGATTCTAAAGTTCTGCTGTAACTTGTGACTGGACCACATTTAGCCAGACTTCCTCTTTTTAAACACCTGTTTTGTAAAATTACTGGACTGCTTCCCTGGGGTTCGGGCCGACACGATTTTACCGTTTCCATATGAACCGCTTTCAGCTGAAAAGAGAAGCATGATATCAAGTTGAACCAAATTTAGTACTCGAAAATAAAACTTACATCTGGTTCTGAATCACTCCACTACCTGTCAGGGTTTATTTTAAATTTTTTATGAGCTAAATTAAAGTGTGGCAGACAGACTAAATCTGATGCTTCAGTGTGAAGGAAGCTGGTGAGGAAATGTGAATTACAGCTTTGTTTTTCATTTTTCCCAAAATATTTGGCTAAAATCCACCTTAAGCAGTCAGCCGTGCACCGACAGCCTGCTTGGAGGCTCTGCAGCTCAGCACCATGCTGTGTCCGCATGCTGATCAAGCTGCCAGGGTCCATCCAGGCTAGACTCATCTCCAGTAACAACTGTGTGACTGTGACAGGGCGAATTCTGACCAAAAATAACCATTTAAATCTAAAATAAAGTCCTTCACATTGCACATTTTAACCCCAGAACGCCAGAAGATAATTTTGCTTTTAGTTAAATAAATAAAAAATATAGTTTTGGTAGAAACCCACTGAAAACGGGATGACATTTACTGATCACATTTATTATTGCTTATATTATAACTTTATTCAAAATTACAATTAGAACCATACATGAGTGCATATTTAAACCTTATTAAAATATTATCACAAATTCTCTGCAAAACGAGGCTTTTTCAGCCATTACAGAACCTACTGTAGGTTTTACTACAAGGAGGAAACAATACGACTAGTTTTCTGACTGTAGGAGTAATGCTACACATCTTCAGAAGGCTCTGGTTTGTCTGTTATATTATATTATGTTAAACATCTTTGCGAATTATCTACGGAAAAGGATTAGGGCCACTGAAAAAAAAAAAGGTCAACTCATTTTTGAATTTTATTTCAGTTTAGTATGGGAAAAAAGTCAGAATTCGGACCTTAATCTCAGAATTCTGACTTTAATCTAAGAATTCTGACTTTTTTCTCAGAATTCTGACAGCTAACAAACATGTTAGCATCAAGCCATAGCCATGTCTGTTTTAGAGACTAGCTCTCTTGTTTTAATGACCTTCTGCTCCTCCATTAATGAGGGCACCCCTCAGGCACGTAAAAAGTTGCCTAATTCCTTCATTTTCCACCAATGTGTCACTGGCCACCTCAAACAACTCACATCTTTGTCAGTGAAGCTGAGTGCTCCCACATCTCTTCCTTCATGGTGCCCATCTACATTAAAATCTAAATTTCTGAGATTAAAGTCGGAATTCTGGGAAAAAAAAGTCAGAATTCTGAGATTAAAGTCAGAATTCTGAGATTAAAGTCAGAATTCTGAGAAAACAGTCAGAATTCTGAGAAAAAAGTCAGAATTCTGAGAAAAAAGTCAGAATTCTGAGATTAAAGTCAGAATTCTGAGAAAAAAGTCAGAATTCTGAGATTAAAGTCAGAATTCTGAGATTACAGTCAGAATTCTGAGATTAAAGTCAGAATTCTGAGATTAAATTCTAAGATTAAAGTCAGAATTCTGAGATTAAAGTCAGAATTCTGAGAAAAAAGTCAGAATTCTGAGATTAAATTCTGAGATTAAAGTCAGAATTCTGAGAAAAAAGTCAGAATTCTGAGATTAAATTCTGAGATTAAAGTCAGAATTCTGAGAAAAAAGTCAGGTTTCTGAGATTAAAGTCAGAATTCTGAGATTAAAGTCAGAATTCTGAGAAAAAAGTCAGAATTCTGAGATTAAAGTCAGAATTCTGAGATTAAAGTCAGAATTCTGAGAAAAAAGTCAGAATTCTGAGATTAAATTCTGAGATTAAAGTCAGAATTCTGAGAAAAAAGTCAGAATTCTGAGATTAAAGTCAGAATTCTGAGATTAAAGTCAGAAGTCTGAGAAAAAAGTCAGAATTCTGAGATTAAAGTCAGCATTCTGAGAAAAAAGTCAGAATTCTGAGAAAAAAGTCAGAATTCTGAGATTAAAGTCAGAATTCTGAGATTAAAGTCAGCATTCTGAGAAAAAAGTCAGCATTCTGAGATTTAAGTCAGAATTCTGAGATTAAAGTCAGAATTCTGAGAAAAAAGTCAGAATTCTGAGATTAAAGTCAGAATTCTGACTTTTTCCCCATACTAAATTGAAATAAAAATTTAAAATCAGTTAACTTTTTTTTTTTCCAGTGGCCCTAATCCTCTTCCATAATTATCTGCCAACACTTAGCAGGACTAATAAGATACGAACCATTAATTCCTCTACCTGTTTTACTTTGTCAGAAGATTCAGAATAAAAGAGATTTTAGAAATATACCAGATTCTAAACTTAAAACATAGACCTACAAAAGTAGCCATACCATATTTTTTTTGTTTTTGCACTTTCATTGTATTTAATTTTATGCCTATTTATTATTTTATCTCATGAGCCTTCGGTTTAATTCTACATTGTTTGCAAAAAAGAGAAAAGAAGAAGTTCCGCATTCCTTTTTAGATCACCTAAAGCTCTTTGGAGTACGCCGCACAGGTCTCCCGTGATAAAACTATAAGTGATTATATTTGAGGTGGAGTCGATGCTGCTGACTGATGCTCTTACTTGGACTTGGTGATGGTTCGTTTCAGTTTCTTCTCCAGTTGTTTCATGCGTGCAGTGGCTGCTGTGTATTTCGCCGACGTCTCCTTGTGCAAAAGTTCACTTCTCGTCTTTGTGTTCTCCGCCTCCATCACCTGCAAGAGCCAATCAGAGCTTCCTGTTAAAACATTAATATGTTCGAAGATTAATAAAGGTAACAGTTGTGAAATACACAAACAGAAAGTACTCAAGTATGAAATTAGTCCTTTTCTTTTTAATTTTAATTAATGTTTTTCTAAGCACATACCGGTAATAGGAAAATAACTAAACAGTTTGGCCTTTAGTGGCACATCCAATGGAGGATAATCAATCAATGATAGTTTACCTAGATGTAACCAGATACTTTATCGTTTTAATTTAAGTTTTTTTGTCCGAATGAATTGAAATAATGCTAAAAAAAAAGAAGCTAAAACTAGGAAAAAGAATTTTCAAAATAAAAGCCCTCTTCTCTGACCCGCTGAGTGGCGTGGTTCAGCATCTCCTGCCAGGCAGAGTCGAACTGCCGCCGGTCCTCTTCTAGGAGCCTCTGCTCTGCCAGGGAGATGGTTTCCTTTGCTGCCCTCAGAACCTCGGTGGCTCGGTGGAAGTCCTGGGTGGCCTTCTGGGCCTCCAGCTGAGCCTTTTGAAAAAATAAAACAGGAACAATATAGATAAATATTTTCTTCTTTCTGAATTATACACTTAAACCTTTCCATCGTCATGGCAACGTAGAGTTTTTTTTGCAATGTAAAGGAAAGATTACACAATCTATTGCAAAAACACAAGAACGCAACATGATAATCTCTGTAGTCACAATTCCCAATCATCAACCGCCAAGAGGTCAAGTCACTAATTCTCAACTCGTATCAAAAACAAAAAAGCTTGTTTAGAAAATCAAAAGCAAATGTCATTTTAAGGTAATCCTAGAAGACAAACGGGTATAATTAAATCCAGAAATATAGAGCCAGATTAAAACAATGCAGTCTACCCTTACAGTCAGCTACAGATTCCACTGCACCATTTTCAAATGTAATTCAGGTACTAATTTAAAACCGTTATATTCAGTTCATAATGTCACTTTTTCAAAGGTTATTTGGGGAAGCTAAGCAGATTGTACGTTGTCGTTGGCTTTGCAGAATTACGACATGTTTATTTACCCAAAACGAATATGCAAACATTACTGTAATCACCCCATGAACCCACTTCCACTTCTGTAAAGAACCGTAACGAACTATGGACTTTATTTTCTCATTGATGTCTATGAAAATACTTTAAAGCAATTATTAGACCTACCGAAGCTCAGAGACTTGAATGAATAAAACACACAGAGAAAGGCTTTTAATATCAGCTTTTTAAGTAAAAAAAATACAAAAATGTACATGCTGCATTCACAGAGAAGCAAAAAGTTTGTAATTTCAGTGAGCCTGAAGCCATCTTAGTAAAGGTTTACCTTTACAGGAATGCCATAATATGCAATAATAAAAACAAGCCTAGAAGGGAATTGGAAGGAGAGTTTTCTATAAACAGAAGTTACTAGTAAATTTCAAACCCAACAACAGACTCAGAAATATACTTGTTCATCCTAAAGACAGAAAAAAAGCAAACTAAAGCTGAACATTGTTGTTTATGAGGTCAATTGCAGCGAGGACTGTACAGCCCCCTATATTACAGAAAAATAAACAGCAACCACCTAAACGCATGGAGCAGCAACGGAGAGCCAGCTATTCTTGGCCAGATTCAGCTATTCGTTTGCACCTGAAAAACAAAGGACACACCTTTGAAGACCAAAGTGTTCAGATTTAGACAGAGAGGACAGATGGTTTGAAAGACAAGTGAAGGAAGCTATCTTGCTTAAAAAGGAATAGCCATCCCTGAACATGAAGGTAGAATTGTAGTTTCAGCTTCTAAGCAATTGAAATCCAGTACTTAAACTATTCCTGAAGGAATGACACAAAAAGACTGACCATGATTTAAATGGCCAAACACTAAACCCACACTAACCAACAACAAAAGGACGAGGATGGACCTAAATGCTGCTTTAACATCATCACTCCTGCAAATAATCCAGGACAGTTGTTGAAACCTTTTCAGAAAATCTGAGCTTGAGTCCCCTTGCCTCCGATTTACGCCGTTTTGTGAATCAAAACCAAGTAAAGCAAATATCGTTTATCCGCAAAACCATTTCTAGTGTTGTTAACCTACTCTGTGACTTAACAGATCCCTGACTAACCACTGTCTCTCATGTGAAGCTGCAAAACTGAAGCTTCCCATACTGCAGCTACAAACAAGATAAGACAGGACGACCGTCACATGGATGTTAAAGTGTAATAATAATGTCTTATTAAATTGCCATAGCAAAGGAAAAGACTGTAATGCTCCAATTTTATGACGGCACCTTAAGTTAAGCACCTATCAGCACTAAGCTGTTTCATGTAAGACAATCTAAAAGAAAAAAAACATAACTGTACACTATGCTGCAACTTTCTGAACAAGAGATAACATGTTATTCTTTTAAGTACATGGTACCATAACAACATCACAAACTGACGATAATTACTTCTTGATAGTGTGTTGAATAATGCTGATAATATTGACTTTTATTCAGCATAAGATGTCTTTAATTGCTGAGAAAAAAGGCACGCAACAAAACAAGCACAAGCTAAGCATGCTTTATCTACAGATATAAAGACAGTACATGATGTTATTGTGCTGAATCATCACGGATCTCCTGCAAAGAATCCTTGCTTATCTGGCTGTAAAGAAGCTTGAGTCTGCAAAGACATTGCAGTAGTAGAGAAATAGTTTTCCATGGCTCATTCTGGTGAATATTGAGCCAAAACCCTGCAGCATCTCTTTGGACTTGCAAAACAATTCAGAGCAGATGTAGGACATTCTGCAATTTTATGATTCCACCCGGAAAACAAAACTGAGTAACTTGGCTCCGCAGTTTTCGAATGATCTCATGGAAATCTCTCCACATCAAATTATTCCATTACAACACTTATTACACTAGTATGCATGTCATTTATTTTATTTGTTTATTATTCTGTTTACAAAGATTTGACTCGGTCACATAAAAAAAAACAGAGATTTCCAAGAATATTTCCTTTGCCAACAATTTGGTTGCAGAGATTCTGATCGTCATATCAGCTCACTAAGTTGGAGTCTGCAGACAGGCTGACATCACCACATGTTTACTGTAATTTCATTATCCATGGGCATCGTCACACAAGCTCAACAGGACCCAAACAACTCCCGCCTTGTTGCAGTCATGGAATGAGCTTTGTTTTCCCCCAGAGCCACAAGTTACACAAGTCAAAATGCCACGTCACTCTTCTCGTTTCTATAGGATGCAATTTGTGGGTATCCACTTCTGCATTATGGGACACTAACTCCTGATTGCAGAGGGATTTCTGACAGGGTACACATTTTGTCACATTTTGTGTATACTAGGACCTAAAATTGCATTATTTCAGACCAAGAAGTAAACAATAGAGGCAGAAGTTGTCTGAGGTACTGAACTGTTAAGTAAAAAGTCACTGTCACAGGTTACCTTAAAAGGTATAGTGGAGGATTTCCCCTAATTTTTGAAAAGACCTGCCCTCTACAATAATACGGAAAAAAAATTGCATATGCACAACCCTGTACCCGCTCCTGAGAGGAAACGCCTATTAAACGCGTGCAAGAGCATGCACAAGCCCCTTTCGCCTCGTGCATGCTCTGTTTAAAACAGCAACCGTTTCCATCGCTCATATAAACTTACTTTTCAAAATAAGATTTGCAATTTTTCCACTCTTAAGACCCTCTGCCATTTTCAAAGAACTGTGGTGAGAAAGGCGAGCTTAAGACAGCTTAATGTACAGTAAACATATCACCATAATGATTGACAACCAGAACGACCACTTATTTTGATGTTCCACCTTAAAGAACATCTAAATAAAGAACATCTTCCACTATACCTTTAAATATTGACCACCAAAGTTTGTCTAAACCATTGCAGGTGTTAATAAAGTCAAATAAACATAACATATCCAAATGGTAATAATCTTCAGCACACTTAGATAATGACCAAAACCCTAAGATGATTCATATTTCTTCCATCTGTACCAGATTTCTCCAGTACATAATCCTAAGTCTTTGTTTACTTCTTCTGGCAGCCAACATTAAATACGTATCTCTGCTTCTGTCTCCTTGAACCCCAGTCGGCCTCAGCAGATGGCTGCTCATTCTGAGCCTGGTTCTGCTGGAGGTTTCTTCCTGTTAAAAGGGAGTTTTTCCTCTCCACTGTCGCTACAAGCATGCTTAGTGTGAGGGATTGCCTTTCAGTCTAAGGGCCGGATCTATCAAAGGTTTGCGTGTATAAAAACGTGAGCTATTTCACTGCGCACGCTAAAAAATGTACAAACTGATCTATCAACAGCGTGCTAAAAGGATTTGGTCTTTAAAACGTGCTAAATAGCGCCTCTTATCCATTTAGTACTTTTTCTGCTATGAATATGCAATATGGGGCGTTTACACGCAAAAGTGCATCTTGTGGGAGGAGAACATGTAAATATATTAATTTAGCACTCGCATAGTGATTTATTAAACCTGAAAGCAATTTTGCTAACGGTATCTGACTCTATATTTAACATGTTTCAAAAGAAGGTGCAAATGGTCTGTATACGTAATTGCGCACACATGGCAGCGGTTATTGTCGCAAGAAGGAGACATCGAAATGAAGCAAGGAGACGCAGAGAACGCATTTTTTCACTCCGTGTGAATATTTTTGCAATGAAGGAGGAAACGATCATCAAAACATATCGTTTATCCAGCATTGCCATTTTGAAGCTGTTGGGGGAACTCAGAATGGATTTGGAGCCAGCCACAAGGAGGACCAGATACCAGATACCAGATATACCAGATATCACAAAACTCCTTGCAACATTGCACTTTTTTGCATCTGGGTCATTCCAGCGTACGGTTGCAGCGAGAGCTGGGATCTCCCAATCTCGTTTTTTCCGAAGTGCTGTCCGACGGGGTCGTGGTTCTCCCCCTTCGCCTGTTGAGCAACATGCCAATGCTGTGGGGATGCGTACGCGTAGTAATCTCATCCACAGTCACTTCTTGTGAGCCATTTGGTACAGTATGTGCATTTTTCTACAGGCCAATACAAAACACCTGTTTTTTTTGTTTTTTGTTTTTTTTTACTGCAGTTAAGTAGAAATTCAGCCACATACCACCTTAGGGAATATATATATATATATATATATATATATATATATATATATATATATATATATATATATATATATATATATATATATATATATATATATTTGTTTGTTTTGTTGGGGGTCACTGTAAGATTTAAATTTCTTAATGCACTAGTTTGTACAAACTACTTTGCCGCAAACCACAAAACGCGCAAAACCATTATTTAAATAGGGCGTCTCCAACAGTTTTGCACCTGCCACCAGTTACGCAATCACTCTTGTTAAATCACCCGCAAACCATGGTTCAGCCCCTCGCGCAAAATTCTAGTTTGCGAGAGCAAATTACTGCACGCAAAATTGGATCTTGATAAATCCGGCCCTAAGAGTCCATACAATCAACTGGTATTTCTTAGATAGAAAACTTGGAATCAAAGTGACTGTATGA